CTGTCTTCATGATCTCTGCTATGTTTGAGCCCATTGTTACAGCTACTGCATCAGTCCATCTTAGTGAGGACTTTGTCCTCTTTCCCTGACTTTCTACCTGTCCCAGCATGGTATCTTTTCCCAAGGACTGATCCTTCCCGATAATATGCCCAAAGTATTTGAGGCATAGTTTCACCATCCTTGTCTCTAGAAGCTCCCTGGTTGCATTTCTTTCTGTTTGTTCTTTTGACAATCCATGGAATAATAAATACGTGTCTATGACACAATTCAAACACACTGATTCTTCTGTCATCCATATTCACTGTCCAACTTTCACATGCACAGAAATCAATTCAAAATACCATGGCTTGAATCAGGCACACGTTAGTCTTTAATACTATATCTGTTCTCTAGTACTTGGGAGGAGAGGTCCTTGGCAGTAGATTTTCCCAATGCTACATGTCTTGATTTTTGACTGGTGCTGTCATGGGTGTTGATGGTGGACCCAAGCAAAATGAAGTGCAACAGTTAATGAATGGAAATCTAAAATCTCTATAAATTTTCATTACAATTAATAATAATAATAATAATAAATGAAGTAACTAACAACTTCAATCTTTTTTCTATCTTTCCTGATGTTGCCCATTAATCCATTGGTGAGGATTTTTGTTTTTCTTGATATTGAGGTGTAGCCCATATTGAACGCTGTCATCTTAGATCTTTATGATAAGAGCTTCAGATCCTTCTCACTTTCAGCAAGCAAGGTTGTGTCGTCTATCCACATAATGCAGGTTGTTGATGAGCCTTCTTGTGACCCTGATGCCACGTTCTTCTTCATATAATCCAGTTGCTCAAATTATTTGCTAGGCATACAGATTGAATATGTATGGAAACTATTATAATAGCTAACATGTAATGAGCCTTTACTATGCACTAGGTACTTTTCTAAATATTTTTTTCTCTTTTGTTTAATCCAACATCCTGTGGGGTTGCTCTTGTTGGGTGCTATCAAGTAAGCACTATTATTATCCCCATTATCCAAAAGTTAAATAACTTCTCCAATATGTATTTAAATACTCCACTACTAATTAAAGAACCAGAACATTAGTGGTTCACACCAACCAGTAATTCCATGGGGAAAGTTTGCTTCTATTAAAGACTATGACCTTAGAAATCCTACAAGGTCAGTTCTGCTCTGTCCTGGACCCACCGTGAGTCAGAGTTGATAAGATGGCCATGGATTATGTAGTTAGAAGAGTCAGAGTCATCAATCAAGGCAGTATCATTTCACCAGCTATGCTTTTAATCACTGTGGTGTCCTGCTTGTCATTGTGATGAGTGTCATGTAGTAATTAGTAGAGAGGAGACAGTACTAAGGGAGCTTAAAGCAATGATTTACCAGATGTGCCAGGGAAACTAGAACATTCTTTACAGAGGCATCGGTATTTGGTTGGAATCTTAGAAGAGCAAGAAAATTTTTAAGGGTTCAGGAGTTGATAGTATTTCATAAAGAATAACAACATACCAAAAGTAAAGCAGTATGAAAGAGGATGGGATACACTTGTCAGAAGTTTTCTACAGATTAGGATACCGTATAGGGTTGCTGTGACTTCAGAACCAACTCGATAGTAGACATCAACATGTACATGTAAGGAGCTATGATGGTTCTTACTAAGCTTTCAGTGTTTTTTAATGAATCATAGTCTGCAGGTAGTAATGGAAAGTACTCTGTTTACATAATATATGGAGCACAAAATTAATGTATAATATGAACTCTGCCCTCTAGGACTTTTTAATCTTGTCAGTGACATCATTTGTTGTTGTTGTTGTTGTTGTT